GCCGATGTGGCATGAATTTATTTGTGTATGTGCAGTTCATGGTTGTACGTGGGCTGGGATACTGCCAGGGCGCCCACACCTAGACAGGAGGACGATTAGGGTCCTCAACCAAAGCCTTTGGCTCAAAAGCCTAACCGCAAGGCAGCGGTGTTTGGCGGGATATGCAAATGCATTACCATTTCTACGGAACAAGTCGCCACATGTTCCAACCCCCAACCTGGAGGGCCAGGAGACTGTGTTCGTCAGAACTCTAACCATTGACCAACCTGGTATGAGAGACTCTGTGAGTGTCGCGGGACACTCTCCAGTGTAGCTCAATGGATCGCTGAGGTGCGCAAATCGTCACACCACGGTAAGGTCCAGTCTCTTCGTGACGGAGTGATTGGTCTAATTCACTGATGTATACGTGGGAACGTTGGGTGCCATCCAGGATTACTAATCCTCTCATTCCAAGAGGCAAAGATGATCCCAAGCTTCTGTTATCACTTCCTCGGTCAAGATTGATTTCACCTATACGAATATCATTCCAGTAGGAGCATCTTGCATCTAGTCGAACTCAGTTTAACTCATTTCCTCAATGAAAGTCGCATGATTTCATCGACATTTCCCAGTGACTTGACTTTCGACCTATTTGGGGATGTTTGAGACTTCCTCTTCTCACACGTCAAGATTGATTTGACTTTGAGCAATGTTCTAACAGCGAAGCGGTTGTGGTCGGATTTGAACCTAGACTACTAGTTCTCTTTCGAACGAGTTGCAGGTTGTCATTATCTTTCCATCAAAGTATCTACACTTTCTGTCCGGTTTACGGCGTTTTGATCGCCTCCCAATATTATGTACACGAGATGCATTTCTTGTGAATCTCAAACCACCTGTTCGCTCTACCAACCTGCGGAGATTTTTGTGGCTCAACTCACTTGGGCCTAACTACGCTGGTCCGAGTAAGCATACAACTTTGGTGGTATCACCATTCGAATTGTAACAAACAACCTGTAGCGTAGATAGTGTCAGTAATGTCCTGACATTAAAAATCATTTTACTGTGAACAACAGAAAGATCAATAATGCAACGAACATGCAAAATCATGCACATAGAAACGTCACGGTAAGGTTACCGTTACAATCGTCGCTACCTTGAGGACCACCGATCTGTGAATGCATCGTTTCAAATCAACTATACAACTTGTAACTTGATGATTGGGCTAAACTAGTGTAGGTTAGTTTTACGTAAACGGCGTGGTGGACCAACTTTGTATAACTTAGCGGCATTTTTTTTTGGGTTTCTGTTCGCTTGTTCACGTTGTGTCTAATCTGAGATTAAGTAATGCTGCGGGTACTCGTCTCAGGATAACTTAGCGGCAAATGACTTTCGCAACCATCACAATGTTAAATTTGATGAAATTGGCGGTCTGTTGTTTCAACATACACAAAAAAGTTTCAGTCAAAGGTAGATTGGTAAAAGATGAGCAAAGCCATATGCAGAACTATCCAATCAAATCGACAAAGTGCCACATAAATCACGTTCCATCAGTTCATTTAGCATAATCTTCAGAGGCACAGCAATCCTCCGTACACCTTGGTTTTAGGGAGACTTGTACATCACTAAGATAGGTCGCACAGAATATACGGGATCGTGATTAGTATACAAACCACAAATCATGGAATGTTTGTGGGAGGAATATTGCCGTTTTTGCTGCCTCATTTTCATTTTCAGCATTGGTCAGAAACGGAGACTTTATGGCGCTGTTTACAAATGAGTTTACACACGTGGGTTAGGATCTATCCAGAACGACTACACCTTGGGTGAACTGCGGTTGTTCAACTCTGGTCGCCGTTTGTTTTGGACTGCTAGTTGTTGTAATTGATATCGATAACAATTAATCTTGTTTAGGTCGTTCACAATAGACAAAAAACCAACAGTCAGACCGTGGGAGATAGAAGGGAGAAACTGAATTGCACGTGTTAGACTTATGTATGCTATATTAATTGTATAAGGATGAACGATTAGCACAAACAAAGCTGCACCGCAATCTACAGGCTGTTTGGTCACAA